TCACCTCTCTGTCGCCCGCCAACAGGTGAGCGTCATCTTCAGCTACATCGGCGTGAGCATTGTGCTGTTCTTTGTGTCGCGCTTCTCACCACATGAATGGCGGCTCGTGCAACAGCCGCCGCAGCAATCACAATCGCCAGGTAAGTGCGCGTACCTGTTTACCCCACTCAACTGTTATTGCCTAGAGCCAACCATAACCCCCAACCACGAGGTCCTGGCTGGCAGTTTAAATATTGTATATATTTAAATAATGTATTAAATTAAACGCTTCTGATGGAGTCCATAATGAAATAGGAACGTTGGTGTTTTAATGTCGGAAAGTCGGCTATAATCACTGTAAAAGAAGAGGAAATTTTATTTTAAAAAAATTTAATAATTGGAATACTTATCAAGCTCTTTTAATACCAAAAATTTTCCTGTGAAAGTTCTTAAATTTGGAACTCTTCAAAAATATATATTAGTCTTCAAACGGCGGAATTACAACCACGCACAAATTTGTTTAAATTATATTGCACTAACAGTTTCGGAATGAAATTCGATATATAATTTAAAATATATTACTATAAAGAACATAATTAAAAAAAATAATTTTGTATATTAAATGTAGTAAACATTTAAATACTAACCGATTTTTAATCACCACTAAACATAAAGTAAAAATAATGTGAACCACTGCAAATTATTAAGATTATTTTAATCAATAAAAAAACTTCATTAAAATGAATAAACATTAAATTTTAAATGACAAAGTTCCCAGTTATTGTTTTCACTGTAGTCCCCTTTAAACCCCTGCGTTAGCTGAAAAATAAAGGCTGAATCGGAAATTCCCCGAAAATCTCGTAATTGTATGCATCTGCTACAACTTTTGACTTGTTTTGCATTCGATTTCATTTGATTTCATGGAAATTGAATTATTTCAATTCAATTTTCCATCGCTGCTGTGCTCTTCTGTTGTTATTGTCGGAATTCTGATGACAATCAGAGCGGGGAGTCGCATATGAACTGGCAGTTTGCAAGAGCGCGTAAGAGCGCTGTGGAGTGGCTGTTCATAACAATCTATTGACATCCTGCAAAACATCCTTAATGTAATTTTAGCGGAAAGTAAACAAAATTGTGTATGCAGGCGGCGTTTACAGACAGTGTAAAAACGGAGATAGACAAACAGAGACGCTGTTATAGAGCGAAAGGAGACACTGCCCGGGAGGGGGCTAGAGTGCAAAATAAAACCTGGCACAGAGAGTGCAGGGCAAAAGTCAGAATCAGCATCCACATCAGCATCACGAGCAGCAGTAGCTCTCCGTGGGGAAAAGTGGAGGTCAGGAGCAGCAATGTCATCACATCACATCTCCGACTGGCAGTCAATGGCTTTGCAATTGAAGCAAATGGGGAACAGAGACTTGGCTATGGGTTTGATTGCATATCAATTAGAGCAGGCGCAAAAAGCCAAGCCAAACGAAATGATTGAAACTTGGACAGTCGACATGGGCACGTACCGACAACTCACTTCCAAACCTTTTTTCTAGGAACACTGAGACAATTTATGGGACTTTAGTGGGTGAAATTAGGTATTTTATGGAGAAATAAAGAGCTTGATTTGTATAAAAACTTGACCTATGGATGCATAAAGATGTTGAGCATATAAAAAAATCATTAACAAAATAGAATAATCTTAACTAATATCCAACTTATTAAGTTGCAAAATAAAGTAAGGTTTAAAAAGCTCTTAAAACTCAAATCAAATCCAAAATTAGCCTGTAGAGAAACTCCCTTTTTATTTATAGAAATACGCACCCATTTTTCACAGTGTATAAGCTGTTTGCCGTCTGCGGTTTCGCTTTGTGGCCAACTCATAGGACCCTCTGTTCACCCTCTGCTCATCCTCGTTCTTTCAGATCCGCATGCACATCACGAACAGCTTGCCAATCAGCAGCCGCCTGGCATCATCGGAGGTGCTCCTATGGCCGTGCCCGCTCCACCCGGACCGCCCACACCGGGCGCTCAATCGGCAGCCGGAGCTGCCGCACTGCAGGCCGCTCTGTCTGCTGCCGGTAATCCGGGATCCAACGGCTCCTCGTCAGCGGTGAATGAGTTTAGTGTGTGGAACTCGTTCTGGTTCTCGCTGGCAGCCTTCATGCAGCAAGGATGTGACATCTCACCGCGCTCGGTGTCCGGACGGATTGCAGCCGCTTCGTGGTTCTTTTTCACATTGATACTGATCTCCTCGTACACGGCCAACCTGGCTGCTTTTCTCACAGTGGAGCGAATGGTGACGCCGATCAATTCGCCAGAGGATTTGGCCATGCAAACGGAGGTGCAGTATGGCACCCTGCTGCACGGCTCTACCTGGGACTTCTTTCGGGTGAGTTGGGAAATTAAAATCCAGAAAAAATCAAACTAGAAACTACCATAAAGTCAAATCAAATTTAAATTAAAACGAATTTAACGCAAGGATTTCCGGCTTCAAGCATTTTTGTCACTGGAGAGCACACATTCCTGGCTGGCCGGAATTTGTCGGGAGTTATGTGTCCCGATTGCCTGGCAGCCAAATTAATTTCGGGTGCTCATGTCACACTCATTTGACAACCGCACTATGGCCAAATCAAAGACAATAAAAGCCAACAGTCGAGAGGCAGAAAACCATTAGAATTTGCTAGCTGAGCCTTTTGAGACGTCAAAATTGAGAGGGCCCCAGCCGGGCCAAGGATTAATTTGTGTTAGACGAGGAATAAAAAGCAATTTGCCGCTCGTCCCGCCTCCTTTTGGCTGTTCCAGCCCTCCGAATTTCCCCCGATTTCCCTCGATTTCCCATCAAATTCCCTGCCATTCGGGGCCAAAAATGCAAAAGAAATGAGACGCAATTCTATTTTTTATGGCTACATTTATTTGAGATGCTTTTAAGCACACTTACGCTCCGCTGCCTCGCCATGTGAGCAGATATTTCTATATGTATATATGGGGAATGTATACTGATTTAAATTGTATTGTTATTGTTCCTTTATCTCTACTACATGTTAATTGTTATTTGATACTAGTAGAATTGTTATTGTTGCAGCCAAGACTAAAGAAACCAATAAAACTTTTCAAAAACTGAAAAAAAAAAAAAAAAAAAAAAAAAAAAAAATATGTGGATATATATTTATGTACAGTCGATGGTAAGAGACTAGCAACCCGATGCCGGCATTACGCTGATGGATGTCCTCGGCGAGCTGTTGTCCCTATCCGCCGGCATTCGACTGTCTCGGGATGCCAGCGCGTATCTGCCGCATATATCCGTGCTTTACTTTATATTTCCTTTCCTTTCGTTTCGTTTCGTCCTTTTTGCCATCACTTTTGGGCCGTGCCCGCAGCGCTCCCAAATCGGACTCCACAACAAGATGTGGGAGTATATGAACGCGAGGAAGAGCGTCTTCGTGAATACCTACGACGAGGGTATCAAACGCGTGCGCACCTCCAAGGGCAAGTACGCCCTGCTGGTGGAGTCGCCCAAGAACGAGTATGTGAACGCCCGCGAGCCCTGCGACACAATGAAAGTGGGCCGAAATCTGGATACAAAGGGATTTGGCATCGCCACGCCGCTTGGTTCGGCGCTCAAGTGAGTACACAATGAGAAAATATGGGTACTTAATATAGATATTTGTGATGTCTGAAACCACTTTTTAATAGTTTTAAAAACATTAAGGTACCTTTAAGTATTTTTCTTTATTTTATTTGGGTATAATGAGTATTTATTTATTTTTTAAATTTAATTTTAAGGTAAAAATATGTAAATTTCTCCAAAAAATATTAATTTCTGTGAGTGTAGAACAAGAAGCACCGAAACTCGAATAGAAAAGGAGCCGAAAATTGATGCCTTTTTGGGGAGGGGTAGGGCAGGAAGGGGCTGCAAACCCAGATGAAAGCTAACCCATATACTTAACAAAAGGAACCACCACTGCAATGCCACTCTTCAACCACTCTCCAACCCTTTCTCCATTCAACAGGGACCCCATCAATCTGGCCGTGCTGAAGCTGACGGAAAACGCCGAGCTGATCAAGTTGCACCAGAAATGGTGGTACGACAAAACCGAGTGCAGCATCCACAAGGAGGCCTCCGCGCACAACGAGCTCTCGCTGAGCAATGTGGCCGGCATATTCTACATCCTGATTGGCGGCCTCCTTGTCAGCGTATTCGTGGCCATCCTGGAGTTTTGCTTCCGCAGCAAGGACTCGCGTTCCGCATCCAGCGGTTCCGGCATGTCCATGTCGATGGGCATGGGCCGCAGCATGGGCATGGGCATGGGCCTGGGCCATGGAACGGGCAGCGGTAGCCTGGGCAAGGCCAACGGCTCCATGATGCTGGGACCCTCGAGCGCCGTTCCCTCGACGCACACACATCAAAGGAGCGGGCTGACGGACACCATGCACGCCAAGGCGAAATTGACCATTCAAGCGAGTCGCGACTACGACAATGGACGCGTCGGGGTGAGTTTTACACTGTTAACCAAACGTAGTTAGTTAGATTTTACAATATTTTGTAAATTTTATATTCATATTAATTAACAGAGTATTTTTTTGGGGTTTGAAAATTGAAACCTGGATTGTTGGAGAAGCTAAACAACCGAATATGACTTGAATGAGGTTTCTAAAACTCTTAAAAAAACTTTATAATATTAGGATTCTACATTTTTAATTCATTTAATTTTTATTTTTTATATAATCTATTTAATAAGCCAATAATTTTTGTCTCTGTGTATGGAAACAATTTGAAATGGCGACGCGTTCGTCCTATTTTTAACGCACTTTCGATGTGTATCCGGACAGTGGTTCCGATTCTGATTCTAATCTACGCACAGTACCTCAATTGCGCCTCGTTGCAGTACTATCCGCCCGCCCAGCTTTCGGCCACGCCTCCCGACGCCGGGGACGCGTTGCACATGAATGCCCACGGGCAGGTCTGACATGAGCACGCGCAGGAGTCGCGCCTATGACGCACACCCTGCGCCCCCACAATCCGCCGGATAATGGCCAACAGCCGCCAGGAGACGGAGAAAATGATGGGTGGCGGTGCCGCCTCCGTTCCGGCCACCTGCTCGAGCAGCATGAACGGCAGCCACGAGGGCAGCCTGACACTATCGCCGGGCAGTGGCAGTGCCACGCTGATGCGCCACTCGCCGGACATCAACCAGCATCCGTATGGCAAGTAATTGCCAGGACGAAGATGAAAAGATGAGGATTAGCCATAAGGACTCTTAGTTGTAAGTGCCAAAACAACAACAACTGTCGCCAATAAGACACTCACAAGCCATAAAAACAAAGCCAGGGACTCGCCAAAAAAGCTGCATACTTTGAAGGACAAGGCAAGGGTTTAAGGTTATCTCTGTAAATATATTTTAATATGTATAAATATTTTACCTAAATACTTTAAAGCAATATTTCTCTTGTATTACTTTATGGTAATGTTGAAAATTGTATAGCAACTTAAGGTTTTTTGAAAGATTTAAACTCTGTGGTAATGTTTTCATCTCAAATACTTTTCCTGTTTAAATATCTTGACCTGATTTCATATCTTATATCTGAAATAAGAAGATTTTGAATTTCTATTATTGTTTATATATTAATTATAATTTTTACTAAACATATTCAGATAATAGCTTCTACTAAACCCTGAATTCTATGATTACTTCGGGTAAAAACCTTTCATTAAAATAATCATGTGATTTTTGCGGCTGAACATTGAAAAGTCAAAGCCTAGCCTGGGGGCACTTTAGAGCGATTAAAGCCCATATTTATGGTTATTAAAATCGCAATAAGTGGCGCAAGCATTTCGCAATAAATCTCAAAGTCCTGGAGTATGCAGCTTTATTTATGCGGCCACATTCAAAAAATTGCGCTGCGCAATCAGTTGGCAAATTTTTTTTTTTGGTTAGCCTGTCAGCAATGCAATGCAAATTGAACGGGATAAATTATTGCATTACTGTTAACAGTCAGCTGAGCTGAAGGATAATATGAAACGGTAAGGGATGCTGGTGACGTGTGAGGACAAACACGGAAATGACAACAAACAAGGAGCATAAAGGACAACACACATAAAAAACACGAAATAAACATAGAGCTGCATAACACGCATATAAACACTGCAATTCATTGCATTTAAATGACTGATTAATATTTTTAATAAACAACAAACAACAACAAATATGTCGCAACTCAATAGCTAAGGGAGAGGAGAAAAAAAAATTAATAACAACGTACACAAAACATGGGATAAGTGTTCATAGCGGGATATCCAGAGTTTTTTTTTGCCTCAATTATCATTGCGGGATTTGTTGTCGCGTATTTGTTTATAATTAAATTACAGAAAACACTGGCAAAAAACGCTAATGAATACAAAAGCGGACTAGTGCCGGACGGGATGGGGACGGGGGCCCCAATGCAAATATTGTAATAAATTAATTAGCGCTAAATAAAGAAAATAGTTTACCCATAGTTCGACTCATGAATGCAGCAGAATAAATAGTAAAAAATATCGAGGCTCGAGTGGCCAGCAAGCAGAATTTTAATTAAATTTATTTTAATTGAAACTGTTTTGATTTGATTTTTTCCAACTGACTGAGCTGTGCGAAAAGTGGCAAGAATTGTTGCCAACTTAAATCGCAGCTTATGAATATTGTTTCCTTTTTTTTCACATAAATATTTTTGTAGGTAGATATACTTTTACCCTGGCCCCCCTTCCCCATTGAGTAGTTACTAACTATTAGGATAGGCCAGGATATAATGTTTGAATTGTAAGGCAAATCAAGCAACAACAAGAGTCGCAAACTTCCGCATTGAATTTGAAGCAAAACAAAGCCAGGATGTAGCTCTAAGGAATAAATGTAAAAACCTTATTGTAGTTAAATTTTTAGCATATTTAGTATACTACTTTGCAGTGGCATGGGACAAGTTCTTTGTTGTACATAAAACACGAGTAAAGCAGTAGTGGATAATAAAAATAACTAAAGAAATTAAAGAAATACCATAAAAAATGATCAAGTCATATCAAAAGACATTAAAAATGGTACTAAGATTATCAATACTAACGTAAATCATTTAACACACATAATACCAAAAACTATTGTAAAATATTTATAAATTCATATTGTTGTTAGCTAAAATTTATGTGTTTATGCATAAGATCAGGGGGATTTGTTTGAAAATTCGTTATATCCGAGCTTATGTTTCCCATTTCTCGTGCGTAAATGTTTTATGAGCCCGGCTTGGTCTCTAATAAACAATAACTGTTTGCAGGTGAATTGCATTTAAACTCAATTTCTGTTATTTAATCTATGACAAAATCAAAACTCAAATCAAACAAAGCCGCTAAAGTGCATAAATAAATTTAATATCAATAGTAAACAAGGCGAACGCTCAAATCAAACTACCGAGAAATATGTGTGTGTGCCAGTGCAAGAGTAAATACCTATAAATATAAATGGTAAACTGTCTAAGCAAATAGTATTAATGCATATAAATATATCTACGAGTATGTAAACATGCGAACAAACTAGATATGTGTTGCCACAACGGACTACGAATCAAATCAGATAATAAAATCCACAGTCGGAACCGAATTAAGAAACTCTATTGACATAGAAGCAGCCATTGGCAACATGACTACAATATTAAAATATTGGATAGATCAACAAACCATTAGGATTAAAAAAACGTTAGCCGTAAGTGAAAATCAAAATGTAATTTTATCCGGTGAGCATTTCATTTGATTTTTCATTTTATATATATATACCCAAACAACACTCACATATAGCCGTGTACAAATTTCGATTTATTTGTAAAATATTACCAAGGTAAATACATGGAAATGAGCAGCATTTGATATATTTATTAATATTTAGCAAACATATTGTTATCGAATTGCATTTAAACTGCCAAAAATACACAGAGGCGACAACCCGAAACCAAACTGAAGGCATAATGAAAGCAAACACACAGAGATGGTAAATAAAACTAGCATAATAATAAACATTTTAAAAGCTTGGCATTTTCACTGGGCTAAATCTGGATGATGGATGGATCGCCAGCGCAACAAATGAATTATTCAACCCCCTTTTCGCCATTCTTCCAGCTCGTCGTCGTCGTTAATCCAAATGAATTAAGACAAATTTGGCTGAGCAAATAAACCCGGTCACCGGTTGGCTCCCCGCTCGAAGTTGGCTTCTTAGGTACGAGAGTGGCTAAGAGCATTTGCACAAATTGACGGTCTACCGCATTTGCCACATGCGGCAGCTGAGAAATGCCGTTCCGAGTGCGGAGCCTTCGCACACAAACAGTGAATGTGAATGTGGATGTGGGTGTGGATGTGGAAGTAGATGTGGGTGTGGATGCCTTTATTATGAGGTCGCCGTGTGCATTGCAGTGACATGAAGTACCCACCGCCCAAATATTCTATCCAGCCACCCAAAGTTCAACCACAATGCACGCAAAAGCACCAGAGATGAGTAAGGTTTAAAAGCTTAAATAATAAATATAAGTATATAAAAATAAATATAATAAAATATATATTTATACATATAAAAATATATAAAAGTAGATGTAACTAAATTAAAAGTTACACAATGATTTTATAGAAGCCTCTTCAGGGATGCCCCATGTCATCACCCCACTCTTTCTTTCTGGCTCTCTAAAAAATATTGAGAATTCTTTATTATCAGCACCAGAAAGTTTATTTTGAATAGAAAATATACTGTAAGAATGATCTAAAATATATATAATGTTTGGATTTAAGTTGTACAACAAATAAAGGGTACTAAGTAACAAATTTTACATTATTTCTGGAATTTAATCAAGGTAAGAGGCTTTTTAGAACAAGTATTTTAATGAGTATTCTGCTTTCAAGAAACAAACTATAGAAAAAAACATTTTCTTTAAAGACAAAATATTAAATATATATTATTAAATATATATTTTGTAGTTAAATAAATTATGCAACCATATATCTATATCTAGCTACAATACCTTTACCTTTTATTTGAAGTACTTAAAAGTATCTCAATATCACCCTTTTTCGCTCTCTTTTACTTAGATTTAATACTCCTAATTTTAAGATAAAAATTTGAAGAAAAAAAACTATATTATATATATAAAATATATGACTAAGATAATTTTAAATCCTAACAGTTTTCACATTTTGGAATTTAAAAGTTAAGTAAATTATCCAAAAACATTCCTTAGCTACAATTTCTTTAAAATACCGCCCATCACTATGCTATCCTTGGTTGGCTAGGCCTTCTCTAGATGATTTCGGTAAACTATTTACAGGATTCTCGGGCTGCTTGTGTGTGTGTGTGCAACATGAACTAAATGCGTTTGCGGTTGAATTGTTGCCTTGCCGCTTGTTTTGTTGCCACCAACTCCAGTGCAACATAATTAGAAAGCGGAATGGCGGCGGGATGTGAAAGGCTGGCTGACTCGGTGGCTCGGTGGCTTGGTGGCAAGTCGGAAGTCATGATTCAAGAGTGCCGCACACGCCGCAGTAATTAACACACAAACGAATGGCCAAGTCAGTGTGGAGTCCAAGAATACCCCCGCCTGTTTGCTTAAAGGCCACTGCAAACCTCAAAAGATCTGAGCCATACACACACACACTCCGACTCCATATTAGCATAAAAACCACTGGGCCAAAGCGAGTGGGTTCGGGGCCAAGAAGCCTTCGTCCTGCATTAGCCTTCCTCCCTCCACCACCTCCCCTCCAAGTAGCCCTTGGGGTATGAAATTTTCCATTTGACAAGTGCCAAACTTGGCCCGTCATAAAATTAGCGCCGTTTTTAACTTTGCCCAGCGCACAAAAGGGCGTTGGATGGAAATGGCAATGGGAATGGGAATGGGTATGATGGGGTCACACAGCCTTAGAGAACCTTTTCCCCTACCCCCCCAAATCCAACCCAGCAACTACCCCGCCCCACATGCAAACACGCCAAGCAAATAAAGAAAAGGCCAGCGAGAAGTGGAATCATAAAAAGTAAACATTTAGAATGTTCAAGTTCTGGCGATGAGCTCGTGAGTGGGAATTCCGAAAAAAAAGGACAGAATGAGTTAAAAAATAAAACTTAATTTCATTTATATATATATTTTTTTTTTACGTATCAGAAGTTTTTAATGCTTTTTGCCCTTAATTATGGTCGATTTAAAATAATAGCAAACTGCAAGTTTATACAAACTTCGGCTTCCTATTTTGGTTTTATATACATTTTAGTTTGTTATCAGCTCAGCTCTGATTAGAATAAACACTTAATAAATACAATAAAATAAAAATTATAGACAAAAAAAGGCTTGCTTTTCTTTTATTATTATTTTTATATATATATATATTTTTTTTTGTTTTTAAAAACTTCACATCTTAGACTTTTGCAGTGAAAATAGCTGCCTTTAATAAGAGATCTTTAATTAAATAAATAAAACTCAATTTTTAAAACATTTTAGAATAACTTTTTATTCTATAAGCGTAAACAAAATTTAGTTTTTTATTTATATTTAACTCATTAATTTTCTTTCACAAAGCATTTTTAATCTCGCACGTGCTTCCTAATAAACTATAATCAATTCGCTTGCTGATGATTAAAAATTGTGTCGAAAACTGACGGTCTGATCTATGACACTTGTTATCAGTATCACTGGTCATTATTCTTAAAAACCCCTCTCTTTGCAACACATTTACCAATAAATTCGGCAGATCTTGCCTCGTATTCCTCAGTTATTCAGCAAAAATGAAGGAAACCACTCGCTTTTTGTGTGTTCTGTTGATAATAGGCTTGACCCAATCCCGGCATCCCAGCCCGGACGAGGCTGCCCTGGATTTCATATATAAAAATATGGATGACACTGCCAACCCATGCCAGGATTTTCAAAATTTCTCCAGCGGAAACTTTGAGGCTCTTCACAAGGAAGCTAAGCTCTACGATCTCCAGGACTCAATACGTGACGCCTCTACCGGGAAGCTGCAGATAGTGTTGGAAAAGCTAAGAGACCGCGTCTTCATCGACGAGTCCAGTGCGGAGGGGAAGGCCTTGCGGTTCTACGAAACCTGCCTCAACACTTCCCCTTCGAGGCAGCTGTTCTTTAGCTTCCTCGAACTAATGCCACCAGGCGAGGATCTGCCCTGGCCAACGTCCAGGCTCCGAGGCAGTAGGTGGCCTGAGGAGAGATTTGAGTGGCTGGAAGCCCTGGCTCGACTCCGTCGCTTTGGCATCGAGAATCTTCTGTTCCGGATGAATGTGGTTCAGGACTGGGTCGACCCAAACCATTTCGTGGTTTACCTTAAACGTCCAACATATCCAACAATCTTGGATGAGAATTCCAATAAAGACATTCTAGTCGGCATTGGAATCCTGAAAAAAAACCATCCATCAATCAATACCCTAGTTGCTGACATTATGGCTCTGGACGACGATCTGCAGAACCTACCGCCGGAAGAGAGCCGATCCTACACACTGAGCATCGAGGAGTTTGAGGATCAGACAGGAATCCAACTATCCAAGTACCTGGAAATCAGCTTTGGACGCCCATTCGATCCCAGCTTTGAAGTGAAGATCGTGGGAATGGGATACTTGGAGGGTCTAAAGGCGGTAATAGAGAAGTACACCAATAAGGTAGTGGCCAGCTACATGATTATAGGCATCGTTCGCTCGCTCATTCAACAGCAGTTAGTTCTGAAGACTGGAAGTAACCATCAGGTGCAGTGTTCGACTGCAGTGCGTCGGCACATGGAAGTGGCCAGCGAGGTGTTGTATAAGGATTACTACTTCCGACAGGGAAGGCTGCAGCGCTACGACCGGGCAGTGCAGCAGATGTTCGAGGTGTTCCGGGCAGCCTTCCTGAAGAGGATCGAGAAGAACCGCCTTAACCTTACCGCCGAAGAGCAAACCTTTGTTAAGCAGAAGCTCCGTGCCATAAAAGTCAGGCTGGGATCCCTGCCGAATGTTCCCGACCAGCGGCGGTTTGTCAACGATTTTTACTCAGATCTGGAGCTGGAGAAACATCCGACGAACCTGGCAAAAATCCTACTCAATATTCTGGAGCATCGTACTCGACACACGCTGAAGCAACTAGATAGACCCACGCCCAAAGGCAATCACTTCTTCCGGCTCGAGGAACTCGGATATATCCTGCAAACCGAACCTTATTACAGGACGAGCAACTTGGTCGTAGTTCCCTATGATATCCTGCAAGAACCCTACTTTTCGCCGGATCAGCACGACGTATTCAAGGTGAGCCTGCTCGGGTTTTCAATGATCCGAGCCGTCTTGGAGAACTTTAAGCCATATAATATGCGCTTCGACAATGAGTCCAATTATAGCGAATTTATGGAAAATTTTGGCGAGAATTTCGCCTACGTAGAGGCAACGAACTGTTTGGATCGTTCCAAGGAATCCTCTCAACTCAATGAACATGCAATCAATGTCTTAGCTCTAAAGCTGGTCTACGACACCTACTTTGGAGAGGACTCAAAGTTCAGCCAGGAACAACCGAGTTTCACCAAGTTGCCGCTGAAGCAAATATTTCTGCTAAACTTTGCCCAAAACTTGATGTACAAGTGGAACACCGTGCGCCTCAACCAGGCGGTACGCAATCTAAATGACTTTGGAGAGGTCTTCAACTGTCCTGCTGATGCTTTCCTGAATCCGGAAACTAAATGTGAAATCTGGTAGGGAATTTGTAATGTAAAAATTGTTAATATAATAATATTCTTTCGAAATAAATAAATACAAGAGCAGAATATTTTGTATTTCAAGTGTTTAAAATATACATTTTCAATGGTTTAATCTCTAAAAATGTCTGAAAATTGTTAAAATTTTTAAAAATTACCATGCAGAATATTTACCGCTTCCTCACGCCACCAAAGTGCCATCTCTAACATAGGCCTCCACATTTTTGACCACCTTAGAATTGACGAATACCCCATCTCCCTGGCTCTCCCTCGACTGCGGCATAAAAACAAATGAGGCCCCAAACGTGCACTGGCACTTTGCTCGGCGGGCGACCAGGGGTGGCCCAGTGGAGCGTTCCTTGATGAAATGGCACACATTTCGGCCGAGGCCCGGGCCATTTCTCATAGCGAAAGTAAATAGGCAGCCGGGCCAAAGGGCGCTGCTTTGATGGCCCTAATCGATCAAAGGCAAACGCCAAATCAATTGCCCGCCGCCGCCTTCTGCAAATTCCGGGTTTCGGCAGCTTACAGAATCCAGTAAAGGCGATGGCGGCGAATCACTTACCATAATGAGGGCCTAGATTGTCCAGACCGCCAGGCATACGTGCTAATAAATCTGCCCGAATGTGTTTATTTATTTGGTTGCCGTGGTCGGGGCCCGTGTCCATTGCCATTTCCATTTCCATTTCAATTTCCATTGCGATTGAGCCTGTCACGGCGGGCCTTACAATTTTCATTGATTTATGCCGACCGCGTTTGTCGTTTTAAATATTTATCGAAATGATTGGCGTCCACTTGCCTTACATCTTAATTATCGGGCCGCAGTGAAATGGAAATGCATGAGGGCGGAGCTAAAGCGCCTCAATTTACATGGCCATGGAGTAGCGAATACCCAGTGGATTACACTGACCAGCAGGTTTTACGGTTCAAGTGAGATTATAGAGTATGTAGCTCAGAAAACATCGGGTTTTCGCTACTAAATGAAATAATAAAAGTATGGATGTACCCATTATATTGTTTTAAAGTCGTCTTATTTATTTAATATTTCTTAAGTATTGAATATTTTAATCTAGTTTGTTAAATGTTATATTAAATGAAATTAATCTTAGAGGGAATCATGGGAAATAACTAGAAAAAATACAAAATGTTGTTTATATAAAGATAAAAAATGGTTTTCCTATAAAAAGAGGTCTTTCTTCCTCATAAGTAACCAATGGTGAATAACCAGTTGGCAATTATAAGACTACGAAAGTCCCAAGTGTGCCTTTCAACAATTTTTTATATACAAATATTTATTAAAAATTACTAAACTTGTATTACATTGGAAATATAAAGCTCTAAGCAAGTGAATTTAGTTGGTTTTTGGAGAGATAAAGTCTTTTTATTAAACATGCTAAAGAAAGTAATTTAAAACAAAAATTTAAAAATTAAAAATTAAGTAATAAAGTTCTAAAAAATTGAATGTCTTTTGCAATACAAACCTCTACATAATTTAAGCAAGAAAAACAAAAGACTCGAAACTTTTTTCTACACACCCCTGTTGACCAGTGTATTCCAATTAGGACGTGGCATGCGTGCTTCGAGTGCAGCTCCCGTTTATTCCACTGTTCCGACGGCCTTAATGAGCGGTCATCTTCAATTAATGTGCAAAATATGCATTCACCATTTTTAATTTATTTTAACCATTCCGCTGCCTGCCTGGTTGAGCAGTGAAACGGGACCGGAGGAAGCTGCCAGCCCTGCCCTGCTGGCTGCCATATCACTTACCTTGCATATTTTATTGAAATTCAACGCCCGCATATAAGTTTTGCGTTACCACTGACGCTGGCCAGCGTCCACGTAAATTGCCAAATTACGTTGCCGGCATTTCAAATGCGTCCCGGAAACCCTGGAGGAGCGAACGGTAACCGGAGTGGGTCGTCCTGGCCTCGTCCTGCGACCTCCTGTCTGCGTACGCCTTAATTACCAGTTATATTAGAAGCGACTCCCCACTCGCCTCCTCCCCTTCAGAAGGCTCGTATTTTTCGGTCCTATAATTGATATTTTGGGAATTGCGGGTCTGTCTTCAGCGAAACGTTTCATGTTGCGCAACATCCACAACGCCTCACGAATATTAAATGGGAGGCTGAGGGCGGGAATGGTCCGGTTTCGAGGACTTGCCTACGGATGTGTTTCAATTCATAAAATAACATTTTGGTTTGGGAGATTTTTGGTGAAACTAACCAGAGGCAATTACAATTTAAGCCAATTGTTTATACTTATTATTGATGGAAATATTTAGATAGAAGCTTATCTTATTTCAAGAAAATAAATATAAAGAAAAATAGTCAATAATCAGTAAATAAATGGGTAAATAAACACTGAAAATATATAATTTATAAATACTATATTTGTATATTTTAATAATAATAATTACATAAATAAAAATTTTTTTAACCGAATGGCCTACTAAATATCATTAAACAAGATAATGAATAGTTTTGTTAATAGAAAAAACTTATATTTTTGGAAAATTCTTCCCATCAATTTTCCATATTTTCACCCCTTAATTGAATTTTCTAAATTTCAACCTTCTTTCTTGTATATTTCCATCATAATTCAATCATTGAATTTTATAATTTTCCCTAAAATGCATTGCAAACGGCCATTACACACACACACATTTTATAGGGCATTATCCTGATTTGCAGGCCCGCCTCTCCTCTCCTTTGGCCTGTCCATTATTAAAAGGTTTTGCGGTTTTTCTGTTAACCAATTTGCTTGTTTCCCGTTTACATGTGCATGCCAATTTGGACATTGAACGGCCGTCTCGTCCCATCACTTGTCGCTGCTGCTGCTGAAATATTGAAAACTTTTGTGCGGTCGGCAGCTGGATTTTTATCCGAGTATCCCTGCATTTCCGCAATTGTCAATTAAAAGTATTACGAACGGGGGGAGTGCAGGGAGTGGGGGAGAAAGGACGACGAGTATTGCCCACAAAGCGGCATGTAAAAATCAATCAGAGGACATCGGCGACATCGACCGCATTAGCCGGCCAACTAGGCAGATGGAGGATGAAGGATGGGTGACGGATGGATGAAGGATGGACGAAGGACTTTGAAGGAGGAGAGAAACCGCAGTCAACTTGCTGATTGCGCTTTGTCCTCTGGCCATAATCCCAGGACCAGTACCAGTACCCAGTCAAAGTCCTGCTCCTTGTAGCAGCGGCCCTGCTCCTGCTGTGGCTTCTGTGGCCTTCTTTGTGCTCGATTTAGTTTCGGGCCGAAAAACTTTTGCCGTCTGCCAATACAAGAGTAATTATCGGAAATGCGGTCTAGACGTAATCCCGGCTAATGAGCAGTTACGACTCCTTCAAGTGTCGCCTCCGTCGACAAATTGAAATATGCCGGGGAATGTGCCAGCTTGATATGTCAAAATATGAACTGTCGTGGCATTAATACAGCATATAGCGACTGCAACTGACAGACCAACGACGATGGCGGCGACAGCAATGTCTGCCAAAACTTTAGTTTTTCTTCTCTTCTTTTTTTTTTGAGCCGAAGGATAGACGAAGCGCACTCCTGACAGCTGATTGATGCATTTTGCAATTATTTTTGACGCTGCCGGCGAGCTGAGATTGAAAACTTGTCAGTTGCATTGATGGCAAGTGGGAAAAAATGCTAGAAAATGCACATGAATGATGCGACAACGATATGGGAATGTTAACACGGTTTAGCAGGGTGGAAAACCACAGAAAAATATATTATTATATATTTCCTTGTTTATTTATTATTTATTGTGAAGTATTTTTTAGTATAAATATTTTATGATTGGATAACCAAGGCAACTCTTTTACTTTATGTATTTTTACAACATTTATTTTACCATCTCCGCTGAGATAAATACATCCTCTTTGTTCGGAAACACCTTTTTGAGCTAATAAAAAGCAAAAGTAGTTTTAATAAAACAGTTGTTTAACTTTTCACTCCCTCTGACTCTCTGCCAAAATTGTCCTCAAAAGACCAAGGGGAGTTCCAGCACACGCCTGAACAATTTTTATTTGCCACATTTTTATCTACATCGAAACTTTGGCGTAACAAAAGATTAGCAAAGTTATGCCAAAAGAGCGAAACTTGTTCTGCTTCTACTTCCCAGGTGATACTTTTTATATTTTCTTTGGCCCGCTTTTACCTTTAGCCGGTTACAATTTTTCCTTGGCCAATTCCCCTGGAAAATGCATAGAATTCCACTAATTAAGACGCAGGGCGAGGAAAGACTGAGGGACAGCGAAGCGTGCGATGCGAGAGATCTTATCGCCGGTGCTGAGGTGCTAAAAAATATTAGAAACTTTTAGTGCCGCGCGCTTCCTCAGAGGAAACTTTTGCCTTTGACCAGCAGCAGCAGCAGAAATATGGGATATATATATATATATATAGAAAGGTATATATACTTAGGAAGCCGGTACGCAAGTGACAGCAAATCCTCATGGCGAAAGGGAAGCGCATTGCAATTTTCTGCATAAAAATAAATTGGCTTGGGATCAAGCTCAAAGTTAAGGATGGGATAGTTCGTGAAGAGGAGAGAGCTCGATGCAAATTGCTTAGTTTTATGGCTTTGGCTGGCTGGCAACTAATCGAAGAGAAGCCAATGAAAGGTAATAGGAGTTCTCGGAGTCGGAAATAAATTGCTTATGATGCTGGCCCTGTCACATACTTGATTTTATTCGCCCCTCGGCGAGTCCCAGACAGCAAGACCGTGTGCTGAACAAGTGTGGCTTCATTGTATTTATGAGATATTTCGCACATTTCTCCTAGCTCTAGATTTGATTTTCCAAGGGAAGTCCTTCTTAAAGTGTTGATAGACTCGAGCTAAAATTGTCTCCCTCTTCCCCTGCTGGTTGCACAAAATGTAAGCCGCTTGTAAGCCGAGCAAGAAATGCGCCATCCTTTTTTGGTATAATTAAGTATTTACTTTCACTTCGGTGTCTCTGTTGGCGAGCAGGGGATGTGTAAAAGAAAAGCA